TTGCAGTACAACCCGATGTCGGCGGCTGCGCATGACAGATTGCTGGGTATACCTTCGGTAACGGCAAAGTTCGACTTCGTGTGATTGACGGGGACGGGGGTTCGGAAGTATGGGGAGGAGGGGCTAGTATGGAGAAGAGTCGGCAGGAGGTGGGCGATTGAGGCGGGATGGGCTCGAGCAGCAGGGAGCAACATAAGTTCAGGTTGCGCAGTTGTACTTAGACCTTGAATCCCTAAGCGTGCAATTGCACGCATGGGCGGCTCCATCGCATATTGCTGGACGGGGCGTGGCAGTGCGAGCACGCAGTAGCCATTTCGAGGTCGGCATAGTGTCTGTGTGTGTGTGTGCAGAATTTCTCTCCCGCCCTCACGTGCGTCAGAGTACTCTGCCTACGTCAAGACATGCGATGCGATAGTCAAGTGGATTCGATCCTTACCTTTCTTGGGCATATTTCGATGTTTCTCTTTGCTTGCTATGGATTTGAATTCTACTTTCGGACAACAACGATTCAGTGCAACTTGAACGACTAGGTTCCTCCAAACTGCTTGGCCGCCAACGTCACTCTTCCGATGCCTTTTTGCCGCTTGTCCAGATGCTAGACCTAATTGGCGCAGGCCCCGCCTACTGCGGATCTGCAGGGGGCGCCCCGCTTATTGACTACATCTTTATCCCTGGATGCTCGTTGTCGCAGATGACTTCGGCTGGGCCCTTGCGAGTCATTGCAGGACACGTGCAGCTCATGCGACACCGTGGCGATCGCATTCCGATGCGTGTACGATTTCGGTGTTCAATTCAGGGTGCCACAGGAGAGAAAGATATAGGACTACAGCCCAACTTGCGCATAGGCTTCTCTCTTCGCTTCGTACGTTGAAACAAAGAGGCTCCCATGGACGGTCTTCGCATTGGCGCGCGTCGAGCAGAGTTTGTGCAAGAGCTAGAAGCTAAACTGCAGGCTGATGAGGACCACTGGAAGCATATCAGGAGGGAAAGAGCGAGCATAATACACTCCGCGCGATCGGTGAGAAGCACTTCGCCATGAATGTTCGGAGGGCTCCTGATTGCACTGCCAAAGCTCAGCGCATGCCATCTCTACTCGAACAGCGCCGCAGCGTGAGAACCTCGCTGGCAGTTGTGGCACCCTCGATGTTTGAACGCTTATCGGAGGATATCTACATGTATAGCAAACAGCTTCGGCCCTTTAGACGTCAGCATTTCAAGCAGTGGAGAATTGCTGTTACTGACGAGCTGCACGAGGCCATGGAGTTGTCTCGTCAAGCTGAGGTGGCCAGGCTGTCCATGCTGCTCTCTGCTTGGGGAGCGGGCCCTACGAAACTGAACTGCAGACGCCCGCCTGCAGCCCTTCCTCTTGCAGAGCTGCAGGACAGGTGGCCCCTTCCAACGTCTCAGGGAGGAGTGGCAGCCACCGCGGTGGACTGGCCCGCCCACGCTGACGAGTGCATATGTATGTATATGTGTGTGTATATATACATATATATGATCCGGATCATGGGCAAGAAACGCATTTTCCTGGGGGAATGCATTGAAGGGGTCTCGGGTGGGCCAGGGACAAGCTGCGGCGCCTGCGGCAATCTATTAAAACAGGCTGGACGTCGGCGAGCCGTTCCCGAGTTTCTGGCCCCCTTGGAATTGTGCTGGCTATTTTTTCCGCGCCGACGCGCGGCGGAGCGATTTCGTGGAGTCGGCTACGAAGTGCCCGATATTCAGTTCGACGCCATCCGAGGATTCCTGGTCGCTTTCATACGCGCAAAGTTCGTATTTCCCAACAGGCCCCTCTGGTCTGGCACCTATCGCAACCATCAGCTTTATCATGGGCGCGGGTGGTCCATGCTCCCTGCCCCTGTGGAGTAGCATTCATTTCGGCGCGCATCAGCCCCCGGGACAAGGATGAGGGGTCTCTCTCGTCGCGCGGCTGCTTCTCGCGTCGCCGCCGACGCGAGACCCCCCTCGTTGCGCAGCAGGCGTTCGGTTGGAAACTGCGCGAGTTTGGCTATGAATTCGTCGATGACCAGAGGGGCACCATTAATGCGCTCGGGCCCTGTAATTGGAAACCGCCATCGCAAGTACGCAAGGAGGTCATATGCGCGGGGAGCGTAGGTTAAATTTTCGGCAATATGCTTTCGAGGGCATGACGGGCATCGGTTTGTCAAGCCGTGGGTGTAAGTTTTACGAGGGAATCCCTGGACCGTAAAAGTATTTGTCAGGGGCGCCGGTGACTGCTTTGAGGATGCGCAGGCTGGGTGTGTTGCCTCCAGAGAGCCCACTGCTCAGCTTTGCGATGTTGATCTTCAACCAGAAGGACATGAACCTCTGGGGCTGGACTTATCGTTTCATAGCTACCTGGGTGACGCTCTGCGCACGCTTGTTGCCAGCCAGCGTGAAAATGCAGCAGTCCCCCTCAGCTGGCAGTCGATGCTCTACGATCAGATCCTCAGCCAATGCCTGGTGAACCGTAACTGCATGCTCAACCCCATAAAAAATGAGTCGGTCGTCTCGTTGCAGGGCCGTCGGCAGCAAACTCGCAGGCAATTAATCGAGAGTAGGGCTCTCCCCATGGCTGGCGCCCCTAACGACGTCGCTAAGTGCCTAGGGGCATTAGCGCGATGGGACAGCAAGTTCAATAACGAAATGCAAGCCCGACACGGTGATATTACTGCTGGTTGTTGCTCTATGGGCACGTGCTGGTATGCCCCCGGCCCCTGCGTGGAAAGGCGTGCCATGTCCCTCGGTAAAATCTGGGAGCCTGCTGTTGCTGCGCTTGAAGCGTTCCCCCACCCCCGAGCAGATCCAGAGGCTACGGCGTAGGATACTTGAAGTCGGTCGAGGTGCTCTCAGAGGAACGGCCACGGAGTGGCAGCATGGTCACGTTCGATCTTCTGTTCCAGGAGTCCACAATCTCACGTATAGATTTAGCTTTTGGTGTTTCACCCTGGGGACTGATGTGCAGAGATCCATCTTGTGTGTGTCCGTGCCACATGTGGCTCAAGGCAAAACGTTATGTCCCCTCCCCTGCTGCCGCAGTTGGTAGCGGAGCGGGGTCCGGCCCGGCGGCCATGGGCGGGAGAGGCTGGCCGTGGCGGCCAGGCCGCCTCACGCTCGCGCGCCCCGGAGCCAGGCTTCGCTCTGACCGCTGAGCGGCGTGGGATCCACGGCAGAGACATGCCCACGGATGGTGAGCAGCAGCGGCAACCGCCGCCAGTCGCCCCAGGAGGCGACGGACGAGATGAGGCCTTCGCCGTCATGACGGCCCGAGGAGTCGAGGGGTCGACTCCAGCGGCGGCGGCGTCGGGGCCCACAGCAGCAGTCATCGACCAGGACGTGCTCACGCGGGCCATCCAGTCAGCCGTCCAGGAGACGGTGCGTGCGCTCGGCCATATTGGCCAGCGGCAGCAGGAGCAACAGCAGCGGCCGCCGCAGGAGGTGCCCTCGACGGCGGCCGACCCGTGGACGGCACGGCGGCCCACCCATGGAGCAGCGGTGGACGCGGGCGACCAGCCGAGGCGAGCAGCGGTGAAGCAGCAGGAGAACCAGGACGATGGCGCTCGCCCGGCAACAAGGACGAGTCCAAGGACGACCAGAAGTGGGACGAGCACCAGGACTGGACCTCCGGGTGGAGCAGCAGCTGGTGGCCCGGCCAATGGGCCGGGGGTCGAGGAGATTTCGCAGACCCTCCGGCGTCGCCGGGCTGGGTCCGCTACGCGCAGTGGCGCTGGGGCATTCGGCGCTGGAGCGACAGCGCAGACGTGGCAGTCTGGAGGCGGTCGGAGAAGTTCATGCGCCTCTTCGACTGGGCGATGCAGGCGAAGTTCGAGGACATCCCGGACAAGGAGCTCACGTCGCCATCGTGGCTGCAGACGCTCCTCAGTCGCATGGACCTGATGGTAGGAGAACGCGAGGGAGATGAGCTCCGACGTGCAGGGCGAAAGGCGCTGTGCGAGGCGGTCCGCGACTCCAAGGAGACGCTCGCGCAGTGCGTCAGCCGCCGAGAGGCGGAGTTCATCGACGCAGAAGGCCATGACTTCCCAGTTTTTTTTTTTTTTTTTTTTTTTTTTTTTTTCCCCCCCCCTCTCTCTTCTCTAGCTACTTCTTTGTTTTCTGAAACCACCTAGTGTGCGGACTAATTTTCTGAAACTGTTCTGTTTCTGAAAAACACGTAGTGTGAGTGCGTGCGTGCGCGAAAAAAAAAGTGTACACAACATGCGCGTATAAATAGGAAAATGAGAAGGATGAGGGGGACATGTTGTACGGATGATGATGAGTATTGTAAGGAAAGAACGGAAGATGTCCACAGGAGGAAGGATGGAGGAAAAAATATTATAGGGAGGGACATATAAGCAAGAAAAGGAGGAAGAAGGGGGGAGGGATGACGGAGACGCTCGTCCGTTTCGCAGGCGCATCGTCGCTCAGGCCCCGAGGGAGGTGCGCGTTTTCGCGCGGGGGCCTGCGAGGGCCATGGCCCTTCGCGCTGCGCACCTCGAGCGCGGCAGCAGCAGCAGCGAGCGCCCGGACTGCTCCCACTCGTTCCCCCCCCACATTTGTTCCCCCCCCCCACATTTGTTCCTCCCCAGGACGCGGCCACGGCGTTCATCGACCTCCCGCGCGACACCGCGCAGGCCGCAGCTGCGGCCGCTTTACGCCAGCAGGTGTTTCGTCATGTTGCTCCTCCTCTGCCTGCACATCCTCTTCGTGCGTTTTCCTGCTCCACCCTCTGTTCCTCGTCGTCCTGCTCCTCATCCTCAGTCCTCTTCATCTTCGCATTTTCTCGTCGATCGCCGTCCTTACCCACTCCCCGCTTTGGGGGATCACCCTAACATCCTCCTCCTCCCCCTCCTCCTCCTCCTCCCCCTCCTCCTCCTCCTCCTCCTCCTCCTCCTCCTCGTCCTCCTCCTATTCCTCATCCGTCCTCGTTCACTCCTCGAACGGTGGAGACCCAGACGGTGGTCGACTCCGAGCCGCTGGTCTTGTCCAGCCAGCCTCAGAAGGCCATCGACGCAAGCTCGAGCGACGACGCCAGCGACACCAGGCCGCTCTTGAAGCGCCGTGATCAGGATCCTGATCATACTGCTGGCCCGCAGCAGAACATCCAGAAGGATGGCGCGGCTTCCAGCTCGTGGCAGCACGACGCCCAGATGCCAGCAGGCTACAGCCAGGTGGTTGGCATGACCCAGTCCCGCCCCCAGTGCAGCAGCACACCCCAGACAGCCAGGAGATGCGCCTCGACGCCAGGGCACTCGAGACGCACGAGAGGAGACAGCAAGCAGCGCAGGACCCAAACACTAAAACAGAGGAGGAGGAGGAGAAGGGGGAGGAGAAGGAGGAGGATAAGGAGGAGAAGGAGGGGAGGGGGAGAAAGAGGGGGAGGAGGAGGAGGAGGAGGAGGAGGAGGAGGAGGAGGACGAGCAGCAGGAGGAGAAGGAGGAGGAGGAGGAAAGGGGAATACTATTGGAGGCAGTTCCTTGGGGGGCTGCGAAGTGCGCGTCTGTTGCCACTTTCGCGGGCTCCTGGAAGGTCGTTCGGAATCGAGTTGCGCGGGGATTTGGCTTGGACCTCGCTGCTCCCTGGGGGGGCTGCGAACTGTGAGGCGTTTCCAACTTTCGTGGGCTCCTGGAAGGTTGCGCGGAGTAGATTTGCACGGGGGCCCAGTTGGGATCTCGCGGCTCCCTGGGGGGCTGCCAGGTGCGCGGCGGTCGCCACTTTCGCGGGCTCCTGGGGGGTCGCGAGGAGTGGAGTTGCACGGGGATCCAGTTAGGACCTCGCCCTGCCGCATCCCTTCGCCCTCCTCGCCCGTCCCCGTCTCTTTCACGTCGGGGTGGAAATGTCAGGAGCTTTGGAGTTCGATGACTATCCAGATCTCCTCACCAACCTATCGTTACGACTGCATTTGCAGTCGTAACGATAGGTTGGACCCCATCCGCCATGTCACAACTGTGCCCCCTGACCTGAGAGCGGCTGAGGCTGCCCCGTGTCACAACCTGCCCCCTGACCCCGAAGATCAGTCGTGGCGACTGATCTTCGGGGTCCAAGATGTTGTGGGAATGATTGATCTTCCTAACCGTCCCAGCTACCCTCGCCCCGGCTTCCTGGCTTCGGGATGCGCCCTCATCGACACGGCCGGGCGCAGCTCGGGGCCCGGCCAGATATCTCCTGCAGCGGCGCCCCCCCCCCAGGCGGCAGCGGCGGAGGCCTCGGAGATCGACGACGTTCCAGCGTCGCAGCCGCGCGAGCAGAAGGACCGGCGCACGGAAGGGTAGGGGGAGTTGGTTGTCGTACGTTTGTTGTTCGATTGTTACCCGAAACTTACCCGAAACTTACCCGATATTTACCCGAAACTTACCCGATATTTACCCGAAACTTACCCGAAACTTACCCGAAACTTACCCGAAAATTGCCCGATATTTACCCGAAGCTTACCCGACAATTACCCGAAACTTACCCGAAACTTACCCGAAACTTACCCGAAACTTACCCGATATTTACCCGAAACTTATCCGAAACTTACCCGAAACTTACCCGATATTTACCCGAAACTTACCCGAAACTTACCCGAAACCTACCCGAAACTTACCCGATATTTACCCGAAACTTACCCGAAACTTACCCGACGTGTACCCGATGGCTGTCGACCCCCCCCCGGCCGCCGCGCTCTCCGCAGGGCGCCTGCAAGGAGCGCGAGTTCGAGATGGAGCTGGAGGCCGCGGCCCAGGCCCCCGCAGCGGCCATGCTTCTCTCCGCCCTGCCGCCCACGTGTGGCCAGTGTTTGGCCATGTTCGGCCTCCAGGGATCTCCATTGGGCCCCAGGACCGAAACAAAAAAAAACTCAGGATGAAAAGCTGGCCCTGGGGAAGGCGCGCACTTTTCCATTTCGTCACTTCGCCCTCTATCCTCCCTTGCTGTTTGACGCTTCGCGTATCCCCACCAGCCCATCCAGAAACGATGCGCATGAGAGTTGACGGGGGGAGAGAGGAAGAAACGCGCATAGTCAAACAGCGAGGGCGGCATGGGAGGCTCCGCGGCCATCTCGAGCCGTTGTGGAGCGGTCTTGGGGCCGCTTGGAACATCTCGGGAGCCATCTTGAGCTGGCTCGGGCTATGAGAGCCATCTTGGAGGTCATCTTGGGCTCTCTGAGACCCCTTGGCGGATGCCTCTTGGAGCCTCTTGGGGCGCTCTTGGTGCCCTCTTGGGGGCCTCTTGGGAGCCCTGGAGCGCCTCTCGGGGCCATCTTGGAGGCGGTCGGTCAAAAGAGTGTGGATCCTAGATTCCCCCCTCCCCTCGAAGGCTACGATCCTCGTGAGGGGTGTCAAAAAATGGCCCTCCCAGGGGCAGAAACATGAGCCTCCAACACCTCGCGATCTCTCCCAAAAAGCCTCAGGGAGGGGAGGGGGGAGGTTCCCCTCCCAGAAGAGAAGAGGAGTTGTGGAAGCCCTCATTAGACCACCTGCCGCCCAAAGGGCTGGTGAGATTCATCCATCCGATATCCTCAATTTCTGTGTCCTCCGTCCTCCTTCAAACCTTGTCCGATATCCTCTTCTCGTCCATCCCGCAATTCTTCTCCGTCTCATCCCTCCATCGCCTCCGCATCCTCAATATCATCATTCCTCCTTCCTCTCCTTCCTGTCTCATTTCCGCGGCCATATGGGCACGAGGGAGTCGTGCATGATGGCGTCCCCAGGAGAGACAGAAATCGAGCTCTCGGCCCTCGGACACGCCCTTCAGCCTTCAGTTCAGAAGGCGAACTTTCTCAAATACAGACATGGCGCAGGAGATGGCACTGGTGTCCAGAGGAGCGCCATCGAGGCGAATCGCGACCTGCTCAAGCGGCTGGTGAGGGTCTGATACACAAAACCAATGGTACTTAACAGCCCATATCCCCCCAACGGTTGCTCGACGAAGGGCAAATGAGCCACCAACAACACCACCAACAACAACCGCAACACCAACAGCAACAACACCAGCAGCAGTGGCACCAACAGCTGCAACATCAACACCACCAAGACAACCACCAACAACACCAACAACACCAACAAACCCAACCAACAACATCAACACCCCCAACACCAACAACGACCGCAGCAACAGCAGCAGCAACAACAACAACGCTGATAGCGACGGTGATGATGATGATGATGATGACGATGATGACAACAACAACATCATCATCAACAACAGCAATGTCAGCAACATCATCAACACCACCAGCATCAACAACAACAGCCGCATAGCCAACACTAGCGCACATGCACAATGCACACAGCAACAGCATCAACCGCAACGACAACAGCAGCAACACCAATAACAAGACCAACAACACTACCAGCAACGGCACTAACAGCAACAACAGCAACAACAGCAAAAACAACGCCATCAACAACAACGACAACAGCAGCAACAGCAACAGCAGCAGAGGCTGGTCGGGTAATGAAATGATTCGGTGGTCGATACGATTGCACGGGGGGCGACTCAACGTCGCGAACTGCAGTGAATGCCCCGACGATCGTGTCTACTAAACAGGTCAACTCCACGCTGGCCATCAAACGCAAGGAGATTTCAGCTGCCCTCGTCGCCGTGGCGATCCACAACAAGCTCACGTTGAAGAGCAGGCAGGAGAAGGACGAGTGGAAGGATGAGATGAGCAAGCGGGTCAAAGCCATGATTAGACACGTTGCTCAATATCGCTGCAAGGGCTCGGCTCCGAGCTGGTTCACCAAGCTCAGCCTGGACGAGGGCGACCTCAAGGGCCTCGACTCGGACGAGGACGAGGAAGAGGAAGCGGCGGAGGAGGAGGAGGCCGAGGTCGACGAAGTCGAAGACGACGACTCGGACGAGGTGCCGATCGTCAACAAGAAGCCAGCGGCCGCCCGCGTCACCGAGAAGGAATCCATGACGAAGATTGGTAGGGAGGAGGTGATGTACGACTACGGGTACGACTCGTGCGCGAAGATGGCCTACAGAGTGATCGCCGGCCGCAAGAAGCAGGTCCCAGAACATGCCGTAGAGATGAAAATCCCGAAGAAATCGCAGCCCACGGGCGCCATGATCGCCGTCTTCAAGGACAGCAATGGCGTGGCCACGGAGGTCGAGATTGGCAGCGTCACGGTCGCCAGGTTCAAAGCAGCGAAGGAGGGGGAGGAGCAATTGGTCATGAAAGGCGGCAAGAAGCTCCGTGACCCCGCCAACCAGGGCTGGTTGGGCAAGACCTCCGACGGCGCGAAGGTGGAGGCCCATCTCCGAAGCAATAACAGGAAGAACTACCCTCCACAGAAGTTGACGTGCATCAAGGTCGGCGACGACCAACTGCTGCAAGTCGACGTCAAGCACTTCGCCACGAAGCTCGCGGAGGGCAAGTCGCTGGAGCAGACTGCCCTGGACTGGGCGTCAACCCTCGCAAAGGACTTCGCCAAAGGCAAGGTCGACAAGGAGGGGGCGCTGGAGATCAAGACCAAGTTCTTGACGGAGATCGGGGCGACGAACTTCCGCAGCGGCAAGCAGCTGCCGCGCGTGAAGGTGCTCAAGAAGCCCGTGGGCAAGGACGTGGCCGTGACCAAGAAGGCGCTGCAGGCCAAGGCCGCCGCGAAGCCAGCTGCCGCGGCCGTCGAGAAGGAGAAGGTCAAGGCCGAGGTGAAGTCGCACGGGGGCGGCGGCCAGCAGGAGGCCGGCGTCGCGGCAGGCAGCAGCGGCACGCCAGCGGATGCAGCAGTGGGCGACGGCGCTCCAAGCACTCCGAAGAGGCGCTCTACTGGCGCCTGCGACTCGCCTCCACATGGCGAGGGCGTGAGCAAGAGGGTGAGGGCGCTCTCGCCGCCGTCTCCCTCTCGGAGCGCCTCCGACGAGGATTAGATGAGCCTGCTGCGTAGATCGCTCGAGCCACGACTCAACGATGAGCAGGTGGCGTGATGGCCAGGGCAGGGGGGGGGGGAAATGATGAATAGGAAAGAGTGGGAGTGGCAACGGGACTTAAAGGGTGATATGACATGTATAGTTATACCCATATACATATACATGAGTAGATCCCTAGAGAGCCAACAACAGAACATAACAGTAACAACCCACACATACAACAAACGAAACACGAAAGGGATGCGATGTCAAAGCGCACGTCTCACGATGTATGCCTGCCGCTGTTTCTTGAGCAGTTACGAGAGGGAACTGTTCTGCATCTCAGGGCCGAGCATAGTTTCAGAACTTTTTCGCCTGTGACCGATGTTCGAACAGTCGAACATGTAGGTCAAACCACGTCGCGTCTCGCCCGCTGACAGTATCATGATGACACCGAAGATGCAGGGTGGCTCGGATCTGCGTGAGGCAACGAGATTTCCCTTCGGCTCCCCTGCGCAACACTCCAGGTGTAGTTGTCCTGGTGCCTCGCGCAGACATTCGCCGTCCTCACGTTCGATATCATTAAGATGTCGCCCCGCCCACGTCGTCGTTTTCCATTTGATCCCAGTCGTGCTGACTGGGAGGACTTCGAAATGCTCAGGACTCATCGATGTGCCCCGAGACGGCACTCAATCGATTCTCCGATCGATGCCCGTCGACTGCGCCACTTCGAGCCAACGCTGTATTCTCGGTTGGAGGCCTCCAAATTGTTGACGCTTCGCGAATCCCCACCAGCCTGTCCAGAAACGATGCCCAGAGGAATTGCCTCGATCAGGGAAGTGGCAGCACACAGAGGAAGCCATCATGAGACATCTTGGGGTATCTTGAGACATCTTGGAGGTCACTGTGGGCTCTCCCAGGCGCTCTCGGTGTCATCTTAGTCAGTGCCCCCCCCAAGAGGCCAACATGTGGCTAAAACCTTTGTTAACTCAATGTTTTGGCATTCTCGCCGAGGCCTCTTGGAGCATCGTTGGTGCCTCTGGGGGGTCTCTTGGGGCCTATTGGGAGTCTCTTGGGAGCATGTTCGGGGCATCCTGGGTGCCTCTTGAGGCTTCCTGCCCACCTCTTGGGGCCATCTCGGGGCACTCTTGGGAGCCTTGGGGGCCATTTTTGGGCCATCTTGGGTGGTATCGATCACAGGAAGGGGGGGGTGCTACTTACAGTCCCCCCCCCCCCAAGAAGCCAACATGAGCCCAAACCATAGTAAAACTAATGATTATGGCTTCCTCGCCGAGGCCGTTTTGGACGCTCCGACGACTCGCCGAACCCCCCGTCCAGGTCCAGGGGAGGGGGTAGGGGGAGGGGGTAAACCCCTCCCCGAAGGAGAAGAAGG